ACCCTAACCCTTTAATAAACGCTAAGCAGAATTGATATTGTCCTTGCAACATTGGAATTTCATAAATGCACGAATGGGTTGGTGCGCAAAAGAATAACGTCACAACAATGTGATTGGTCACTTGCAATGTTGAACCTGGAACAACATTTTCATGATGATCTGGGAACAACACCAACACGAGGATATCAGATCATCCTTCCACCACGTGCCGAAGCTGATCTACTCTGGTGACTGTGGAGGGCAGTGAATTCACTGTCATGTTCAAGAAACCAGTCTGAGATGATTTGGTGCTTTGTGTCATATGAAGATGGGTACACTGTGGTCATAAAGGGATGGACACGGTCAGCAATAATACTGAGTGCTGAACGGTTACTAAGACAGTCAATGACATCACCGTCAGCAGCCTAAATGCTGGTACAAGGCAGGATGGATAAGTGCTTTCATGTCATTAAAGCCAAATTGTGACCCTACCCTCTGAATGCCACAGCATAAATGTAGTTTGTTGCCCAAGACACTTTAAATTTGTGTGATGAAGTGATCAATGAGGACATAAAGTTTGGACTTGGTGTATCCGTGGATGCTTCCTCTGTAACTTCAGGGTTCAGAACTCCGAGTTCAATCTAAATCATAGGTATGCTGCAACCACACACTTGTGCTGTAACCTGACGTGCATCTTTCTAGAGAGGAAAATACTCGTTGCATCGTTGCAGTCATTTCCTCCAACTCATTTCTGGTTACTCCTTCTTGTGCTGCTATTTTTCAAACTGACTGGAAGGGAACTGAGCAGCTCGGATGGAGAAACTCAACCACCAACGGGTATTTTAGCATCGCAGGCATAATGTGCAGAAGTATAAATGCTGGCAATGGTTTCGGCCTGTTGCACAGCCTACAGCCTAGACTCTGTGTAGTTTTAAAGCCAAATATAAATTAGCTCGTTCATGCTGTGACCGCAATGATACTATTAAATCCAGAGGCTTAGCTGAGCTTAAATAAATGTGTCATATCACTCATTCTAATATATCGGCTGATTGACTGATACATAAATGAAGAAACAATGAAAATGACTGATTTGTTTTGTCTGTTAAAGTTGGTAACAAGGTGTCTTCTATAAGGATCCCTCTAATTTATCTTTCTAATCATTCATTATTGCTGACTTTGCCTTTATGTGTGTGTCTGGTATGAAATTCTTTTGTCTGTTTGTCTGTTTAACAAAAGAAAACGATGATGATTCATAACTAAGGATGCCTTTGATGATTCTCTAAAAACGTACATTTCTAAAGGCACAAAAAGATGGGTTTTGGTTTTTTTACTTAGTCCCAACGTCATTCGGGTTTTATTTCATATATTTTCTGTTATTATGCACACGACTGCGGTGACATATCCGTGACGTCTGCTCTTTATTGATCTGTCAGTTATGAGTGGGTGTAAGTGTGTATAGATAGACTGCATTTTTACATGACTCATTTCATGAGTTTAATTTTTTGAAATGTCTTTAAAGTTCACACCAAGGCTACCAAATTAATTTCAGATGTGTGGGATGAAAAAGCAAAAGAGAAATAGTTTTGCTGACTGACTGCTCACAACCATCTTCATAGCCTCTGTAGCCTGTAGCTCCATGCAAAATGTACTTAAGTTTAACAGTAAGCAAAAGAACTGGTATAAATGAAAGTCAGGACCACCTTATGAACTGTTAAACAACTTTAAACTAGCTTTGAAATAAAAATTTCAACCAGCATGCGGTGAGCACAC